GCAGCGGCAGCAGCAGCAGCGTCTCTTTCCTCTTTCCTCCCCTCTCCACCTCCCCCTTCCTCTTGTCCTTCGCGTCCGTCTGTCTTCTGTCCGCCCGTTCACCGTCCAGGTGCAGCCAACCCTTGGAGACGAAAAGAAAGAAGCGACACCCACCGAACCGGGACAATAATTTCAGAGAAACTTTATTGAGTCAATAATCTATATTCTTGTACGGTTACCTAGTTTAATTAACGGCAAATATTTTGTCGTTTATATCGTTCTAAAATAAGTTTTTAACATATCACGTTGGCAAAATAATGGAACCGTCTGTTGGCGGCTTAATCAATTCAACCTTTATTGACACCCTCCCCGCCCCCGGCCTCTTATGACACAAACCAGCTGCCAGCTCTGCCTTATCAGACAACAGTTTCAGTTTTTTTATTTTCAATCTTTCATATGTTGTCTCTTTTCATGGGTGCATGGAATGTAATGATTTTAGAGCAGATCTATCTTACACGAAGACTATTGTCTTAAAACAGCCAGGCAGGCATTTGAAGGAAAAGTAAGCTTTTAAAATTTATTTCAATATTTTTAGCAGTAGCATGTGGTCTATTTGCCCCACCAGACACTCTCTTCTTAGGGCCTACTTTCGTGTATCATTTACACAACTTTCATCAAGCTCTAACAACGCAATCCCCAAGATGGATTATACTTCATTCCTGTCCGAAATGTCCAAGAGACGTGAACCCTCAGTTTTAAGAGAATTGAGTATGTGTATGAAATACTGCATTTGTTTGGTCATGAGCATCAATTATTATGACAGAATCAAAATGATTGATTCCTTCCTGTGCAGCAAAAGTAGTTCTTGGGGCACCTCAAGGAACAATATCTTTTGCAACTGGAATGCCAAACCCATCAACATTTCCCTTTTCTGAAATAAAAGTTAAACTAAAAACGGGAGAAGAATATACAGTGAAAGGGAAGGATTTGGACAACGCTTTGCAGTATCAGCCATCAACAGGGTAAGAAGAAAATTTAAATGCATCTATTAGTCTTACTTGCATTTAATTAGAAGCAACCTTATCATACTAGGTATGCAGAGCTCAGAGAAATTCTTCAAGAATTCATCGATCAAGATCATGGCAAACAGGACTGGAAGACTAGGAATGTGCTAATATCAACAGGCAGTAACGATGGCATCTCAAGAGCAGTCGACATGTTACTTAATGTTGGGGATCCAATAATAATACAACACCCACTCTACAGTGGAATTGAAACGCTGGTAATTTCAGGAATAATGATTGTGTTTCATCATATCTATATCTAAAGCGAATAGTTCCTTCAAATTATTTAACAGAATTCTCACAATCTCCTCTATGACAGAATGGGTAGCAATTTACTCAACTGATAATAATTTAATAAAGTTAGTCTGTAATAATATGTTCTAGTTGAAACCGTACAAACCAGAGTATATCCTTGCCGAACAAGACAAGGATGGAGTTGATCCTCAGATATTGCGTGAAACTTTGGAAAATCACAAGAAAGCTGGTAAAAAGATGCCTAAGGTATGAACATTCATCATCCAAACAGTTGTAGATACAGTATTTTTAACTCCTTTATATATTCTTAGGTCATGTACTTGAATCCAACGGGGGCAAACCCAACAGGTACCACTCTAACTACTGACCGAAGGCGACAAATTTACAAGCTGGCACAGGAATATAATTTAATAATTTTGGAAGATGATGCATATTACTACCTACATTTCTTAGAGGTATTCATATTTTTTCTAGATGAAATAAAATTAACAATGAAAACCTGCTAAATTTAAAACAAAATTTTATATCTACACCCGTCAACAGGCCAACCCTATAAGCTTGCTCTCACTTGATACTGATGGCAGGGTGATTCGATTTGACTCATTCTCTAAAGTTCTGAGTTCAGGTCTAAGATTGGGAGTGGTCACAGGACCAACACAACTTTTACGCCAAATTGAGCTCCACATGCAAGCAAGCACATTACAAACTTCTTCCCTAGCACAAGTATTGGAATTTTTATTGGTGTCTTCATATACTCAATTTTGATGAGGGGTGAAAAAGGATGATTAGAATTGAGGTTCCTGCTTCCTTGCCAGGTGTTAGCCTTTCAACTTCTCAACATATGGGGTACTGACAAGCTGAAGCAACATTATAAGAATGTGAGAGCATTTTACAAAGAGAGAAGAGATATCATGATCAGAGCAGCAGAAAAACACTTAAAAGGTATGTATTGCCAGTCAAATTACTAAAAGTTATCATAGTAATCATTTCTATGACTGCAGAACTCTTTCCTTTCAGGTTTAGCTGAGTGGAACGTACCCACAGGAGGAATGTTTCTTTGGATTAAAGTCCATAAAATAGAGGATACAAATGCAATGGTCATGTCACGTGGTGGTGACAAGAAAATTATCCTTGTGCCTGGGCGTTGTTTCTACGCAGACCCACAAAAAGGAAGCCCATACATAAGGGCAGCTTTCAGTATAGCACCAAAGGAGGACATTGATCAGGTAATTAAAGTGCAGTGCTGATATTAAATGTTGATTCTTTTAAAATACTAAGATTGGTCAGATACAAAAGTGAAATGGGAAAATAGACTTAAAGATAAATCAAGAAATTCTCTATTCTTAGGGAATGGCAAGACTAGCTGCATTAATTAAAGATGAACAAAACTGATCAAAACAAGTCTTGATCATGAAAAAAAAATCAAGAAAAAACCACAACAAAAACAACAAAATTATAGGTAACATTTTAAAGAAGATGTTTAGTCCTTCCTCATTTTATAGTAACTTTAAGCTAATGAGTGTTGATAAAATATAGTGTTTCAATTTGTAACAATTAGGCCTTCATTCCTTAACTACAACTCTAATTTAAAGAAAAGAAAAACACAACCATACAAGAAAACAACAAAAGCATAAAAAGCATATAAACAAAAAAAACAGTAAATTTTAAAAATGAGAAATTAGTCACAATAGTATTATTTTTCACATAAATAACACACACTGAACAAAAAACAAAGGTGGGGCACACATCAGGGTAACTTGGTAAATCAAAAGCATCAGAAGACACTGCAACAATCTTACGCCACAAGGCCCTTCTTTCTGTGCGTCTCTCAACGACGGATAAGCCGCCAAGACTAATCTTGAAAAAATTAAATATTCAATCTGCTTGCAACATAGATGCCATTTCTCTTATAAAACCCAAAGCATCAAGAATTGACAGAAAAAAAATATGCTGATACAAATGCATGATGATAATAATCATGAATAACAAAACATTTATGTAGGCCAAAGTCTTTGCCAACCCAGATGACAATAAAATGTCAGCAATATGATTTTCTTATACGATTACATTTTCCAAAACTTTGGAGCATTCATATTTTCTAGCGCTAGATATTTTCAAGATACTGATTGTGAATTTCTAAACACAAAAGAAGGTGCTAAGGCAGCTAGGGCAAGTAATGCCATTTGCAGAGCCATCTTCAATGAAAAAAGTTGTTCTAATGATGTGAGGGTTGACAAGATGACTCCTGCTTGTGTGCAGACAAGTACGTATGGGCCAAGACCTTTAAATGAGACAATTAAATTACAACATATTAATAGAGACCATCAAACCTGTAACTGTTAAAATTGATAGTAACTTCTTGACAAAAGAAAGATGTCATTGGTAGATAGATTTATTGAGAGACTGTGCAAACTGTGAAATTGTACATAAACAAAGTCAAACAAATTTTTTGTAAATCAAGAAAAAGTAAAGAATGAGCAAAAGAGGTAAAAAGCTTCTAACCACCTAAATTCAATCTCTTTATCAAAATCTTAATCTACTTACCAAACAACACAGTGAAGAAGAATAGGGGAAGAGGGACACCAACCAATGGTGCAATGACATTAATAAGCCAATTTGGGCTCATAGGGAACATCCTCAAAAAGAGCAAGTAGTAAAGAAGTTGGTGGGAATTCTTTTCCACCTACAAAAAAGAAAAGAGAAAATGTATTACTATGATACCAACATATTTGGCCTGGAAATGTTAATGAGTGCACCTAGCAACTGGTTAAACAATCAGTACACTACCTTCTCCTGAAAATTTTTAAGCTGGTTGGGGAAGTTATCCTGAACAACTTCTTTACCACAGGTAGCGGACAGAATGTAGCAGCAAGATGCTCCAACTGCTGTTAAGAAGCAGCACAAGGGAAATCCAACAACCACACCAAAAAGAGCTCCTCCAAGAACATTCTAAAACAAAAGTGTATTGTTAGAAACAGGTTGAATGTTGAATTTGACATAGTGAGGAAAGTTGATTTTGATAAGATATCGTATCAATGTTACTCGTTGTTTAAGGTATCGTTAACAATACGAAAGTGACACCTCAAATGACAAGTGGCATCAAAACAATATCGTAGCAATAACGAAAAAAAAATCATTCATCACTGTGCGAAGTAGAAATGGGAAAATACTCACTAGAAAAACTGTTCCAGGAATTGCGAAAGTCTGTTTGTATATGTAAGCACTACTATAAAGTACAAGAACGTAGATCCAGTTAACTTCATAATAGAGTCTAATAAGTTGGGCCACTTGTTGTAGCTCTTCAATATTTCCAGGAAACTTCAAGGTGCTATTGGTCTACAGAGACACAGAAGTAATATGTAAAACATAAAAAAATATGTGTAGTTTGATTACGACGCAGAAAAATGTCATGAAAAACTAAGTAACTTATGGTTCGAAAGACTACAGGAAAATTAACAAAAACAGTACTCGTAGTCCCTAAATACGTAATAAATTCACAAACAGCAACAGCATCAAACCTTCTCGGATGGTACCGCCGGTGCTATAAGCGTCAAGAAGTACATCCACGTTGTAGCCAGTGACAAAATTGGGACAATCAGCCATACACTCGCCATCTTCACTCGCAATACTTGTCACGTCTTTCGTGTTTATTACAAAGTTTCCCTGGAGATATTACTTGAGGAAGGGTTATGTTTATCTTGTTTGTGTACGTTGTCTGCTATGGTGAATGCGAATGTGAATGGTGGGTCGTAGCTCCCAACTCGGCTCGGTTCTACCATGAGAAATTCATAGGCGCGGTAAGTTTCAAACTACTTCGCATCCTGGATGAGTCCGTAAAATGTTAAGTACTCTTAAAGTGTGGAGTCGAGGAGACCTTTCATGATAAGGTCGGAGGTCGAATTGACACAGGTTCATATGCTCAATGTTGAGCGAGGAAGTCATGACTACTGTTTATCAACCTACATTTCTTAGAGGTATTCATATTTTTTCTAGATGAAATAAAATTAACAATGAAAACCTGCTAAATTTAAAACAAAATTTTATATCTACACCCGTCAACAGGCCAACCCTATAAGCTTGCTCTCACTTGATACTGATGGCAGGGTGATT